ATGTGGTCCCAGCTCAGGGGAAGCGAGCTTGAGACCATCTTCTCCTAGCTTGCTTCTTTCTGACCCCCATGGGCACTGATGTCACCTTCACCTTCGCCTTGTTTAAAATGTGAAAGAGATGCAGGCTCCCAAGTCCTCCTTATTGGGCCTTTCCTAAACCAATCCAAATGAGAAGAGCAAGGCAATATCATCACATTGCTGATAGAGGTGAAGGCACAGGAAAGCAAAGGACTTCAGAAATGAGGCAAGAACAGCACTCAGCCTCATTTGGACGTCTGCCCTACCTAGCACACTCACTTGTTAATAAACATGTCTACTTTTATTGTTTCATTTATCCCTGCAACAAGCTTATCAGGAAGAAATTACTGTCAGACAAACTGCACCTGAGTGATGCTGCATACTCTACGCACTGGGGATCATTCAGGCACTATGTTGTGATGTCTGCTGTGAACTCAACTTCCTCTGGAGTGATGGATGAATGAATGCTGCAGAGCCACACAATTCAATTCTACCTCAGGACCTTTGCACTCACTCTTCCCTCTCCAGTTGGATCTCTATCTTACCCTTTCATGCTGTTTGCATAATTTCTGTCATGTGATCGTCTCAAGATAACACACCTGCATGCACAAATACATATGCAAGCTCACAAGCACGCACTCATGTACATATGCACACACACACACACATTCACACATCGATGAGCTCAAAGACACAGCAGCAACAATGGCATCAAGGGCATCTTGAAAACACAGAAGGCCAGCACCTCGTCCCTCTCCCACCCCACCCCCACAAGACCTGTAGCATCAGAATCCAGGTGAACAAGATGTTAAGGCATGCTGAACGTTAAAAAACTGAACACTGCATAGGGGCCACCCAACAGAACTACGAATCTCTCACAGGCGTCCTTTTGCATTCTCAAAGAATGACTTTTAAAAGGTAAAAAAAGAAGTGAAATTGGGGGTTGAGGCTGTTAGCTCAGTAGTGTAACACTCACAGGAGACCGTGGCTTCAATCTCCTAAAAGTGCCAACAACAATAACAACAACAAAAAACAGCACAAACTTTAATTTAGTAATGTACATTATTTAGCTCAATATTAATGCTAGGATTTCTATATGCCATGAATAGAAAATTACTGTTGAGCAACTTTTCATTCTGTGTGTTCTACACTTCTGGCATAGTCCAATTTGGCCACTTTTGCTGTGCCAGTCATTAGCACATCCGCCTGGAGTTACTGCACCAGGCAGAGGAGCTCTGGGCCTTTACTTGAGTTTTCCTTACACTGCGTCAAAGCAAAATGTTCACTATCCACTATTAGGTTTGCTTGTTTGCTGTCTCCCCACTTTCTTACTAAACTGACAGTTTCAGGAGAATGGGTGCTCCATCTATCTCCTGCTTCACTTTATCCTCCATCCCCGAAGCAGCACGAAGTGCACAGCCCGGAGTTATTAAACATTTGTTGAAGAAAAGCATTGAGAAGGCAGCTGCCCTCTTAGTATTAATGAGTGGGCATTGTGGTGTAGGCAAAGAAACAAAGCCATCTGCAACTGGACGGATGCAGGTTCGAATCTCAGCTCAGACACCAGCCAAACCAAGGATCTTGAGCCGGTCACTTACCTCCATGAATGAAGAAAACGTGGTCATAAAACAGTGGCTGCTGTTTAGCCTGCAGCGTAATCTCAACGCTGCAAGGAATAACACATCTATAGAGTGCCAGCCGATACTATGGCTGGCATCCCATAAATATCAGCATCTCCTGTCCTCAGTCCTCTCTCCAGGCACCAGCTGAGAGTGCTGCTGCTGACTGCTGGGGACCAAGAGCTGGGTGTCCTGCAGCATCCAGCAAGTTCTTGGGGTTACTCCATCACCCCAATAGGACACAAGATTGGGTAGATCGCGTGGGAGCTAAGTGGTTGCTGAAGCAAAGTGCCATGGTTACTGTACGTGCAAGTCATAGGAGAGGCAAGTGCCTCTGTCCCTCCATCATCGTCATGAGTCCCATTGCTGCAACCAGGGATCTGCCCCAAGGTCCCATCCCTTAGAAGGGTTCAAGGTTTCTGCTAGGACCACTGTACCAGCTCCTATGGCGTTTGCTTATGGTTTTGCCCTTTTGGAGAGAGATATGGAAAGGCGGAGGAGTATTAACCATCCACTGGGTCAGGCTACCACTAAAGCTAAGTATCTCTGCAGCCTAATCCATTTGCCCAGTGCGGCCCTGAAAACCAAATGTACATGCTTAATCTCCAATGTGTTTTTACATCCTTTTAAAGCAACAGCATAGGTGCAAAGCAAAACCTGGATTGAGGGACAGCTGGAGTGAGAGTGACGCCACAGAAATGAATCCACTAAGGTTGATTTGTTAGACGGGAGGGAAGCCCAGGCCAGGTGCATTGACAGCAGCCTCAGTTTTGTCCCAGCTTTTCTTGCTCCAAGCACAAAATCCAGGACCACCTGCAGAACCAGTGGCTACTTGGGAGCACATTTAAAACAACAAATCAGGAAAAGAGTAAATGCTAAAGTAAATAAATAACAAAAATTTAAAACCTTTAATTAACCTGTGCTTCTTCAGTGATTCCAGCAGACTGTAGACAGCAGACAAGGCACAGGGAAGTTAAGATTCCATCATTTAAAGAGTTGCTCAGGGAACCAAGACAAAGGGTTTCTGTCACTGGTTTGAATTAAAGCCACTATCTACATTAGGATGTGGCTATCATCCCTTCTCCCTACACGGGAGAGAGGCTTAGGGCAAGCATGAAAAGACAAGACTAATGAAATCTCACAAACGTCCTCAGAGCATCTCTGCCAGCGATGAGGCTGGGAAGCTCACTGGGTTCCCTGTGAGCCCCGGAGGCTTCCTGGAGTCTTTCCATCAGCCACATTCTGGTGGCTAATGAATCCCACATTAGTCACACAAGTCCATGAGGCTTGCTCTTAAGAGAAGGTCCCCTCCTCACTTTCAATTGGCACCACTCAGCCTTGTGCAGATCTATATGTCAAGAGGATAAGGGCCAAGGACTGAGGACCAAGAGATAGCAAATGGTTCCCTTACCTGGGACCAAGAAGACCTTCTTCTAGACCCACCATTTCTGGTTAGCAGTTCTACAAAGGATTACTAAATACTAAATACTAGCACCAAGCCACACACGCCACACACTGCACACCTTCAGTAGCCATACTGGGACAGTGAGGTAGATGATGTCTCTTCTTGTCCCGTCATCATTGTAAAAGAACCTGAGAAATCTGCCATCTCCTCTCTAGACCCCAGGATAGAGACTTCCTAGGTCAAGCATTCCCATTCAACTTTATTCATCATCCAAATAAAGCACTCCTTTCTGTAGCTCCACTGCAGCAGAGCCGCCCAAAACACAGGCTGCAAGACTTGATCTTTATGCCTCTCTCAAAGGGCATCTGACACTTGCCACAAGAGGCGCAGTTTTAAAATTAGAACTAGGGTTTGGGGCAGGGGGAGATGCCCACAGTTACCCTCCTATGGCTGAAGCTACCCCACAGAAGAAATCAGGACATTCCTGTAGCTAACCAGTAAACAGCTGAGCCCTTCCCAGACATCTTCCCCTGTCTTTATTTTGCTGTTGTTGCATTAATCATCCTAACACCTTTTTAATTATAATCACAAACTGGAAGCCATGGCTTGTGATGTTATAAATACGGATTTTTTCCAGTTAAATTAGGCACTTGCTGTTTTATGTTTTGATAGGAAGGGGCTGTTTGAAGCCTCCTAAAATATCCCAATTAGTTCTTGCTGCTGAAACAGACAAGACATTAACAGACACATTCCCTGTCTCAGTGTGATGTGCTGGAATGTTTATGCCTCCTTGTACTTCTCCTCAGCTTTTAAAGCACAAGGCAATTAAAAAAAAAAAAAGTGGGAGAAAACAGTCACAACACACACTGCTTATTACATTCTCCCGAAGTTATGGCCAAAACTTTTCCCAGGCTGTAATCTAAACCCAGAAAGCACGTCACAGGACAGTTTCACCTACTGGTTCTGTGGAACCCGTAGTATCGCTTCAGCTGACAAGGGCTCTATTTCTGTTTGACAGTCACAATTAATTATTGAAATGTGATCGAGATGGGGCCACCCATCCAGATCTGTTATCCAGAAAGATATGAAGAGGGAAGAAAGGGGGGGGGAGGGTGGCAAGGGAAAAAGAAGGCCCGCGGTTGGGGCATATGCACCAATGTTGTTTTAATGTTACTGCTGGCAAGAGAAATAGATTATTAGCTACCTGACCCGAGCTTAACTTTCTCCTGCTCCTGTCCCCTCGCCACCAACATCTGATGGTGAGAAAGATATATTTATATAAGTCCTTGCAGAAGTAACTCCAGTCTTTCCCCCAAGGATGCTTGGATTAGAAAGGGCTGTGCACGGGGCACAAACATTCCTAGAGCACCAGCTGACATCTTGACACGGAGGCTCCCGGATGCTAAATCACCCAGTGTTCATTCAGCCAAGGGGGACAGAAAGTTACAGAGGTAGGAAATACCCTACCTTTACTAGACAGCCAGAGTGCCTCCACCGTTTTGTTTTTTTTTTTTTCTCTAACTGCTCCTTTTGCTTTGACCTTAAAACACTGAAGTTGGATTCCAGCCACGCAAATGCTTTTGAGGGCGCTTTTGATTGATTCCTGGGGATCTCTAAGCCCAGTCGTCAATTTAGCTCTCCTGTCTCATTCCTCCTCCTCGGCATGTTCCCAACCTAGATGCCCAGAGCTCTTTATCAGCCTGGGCTGGGAAACACCCCGCTGACTGGCCGCCGGGGCAGGAGAGCTGGGGATTCCCAGATTGGGAGCCTGGTAGATCCCCAAGGCACCTGCTCCTCTCCTTGCCCCAAAATAAAGTGATCTTTTAGCTGGACTCCTGTTCTCTTCTCCGCACCAGCACCCTGCGCAACCAGGCCAGGGCTCCCACTGCCTTCCCCTGGATGCCCGGACTATGGGCTCTCCGGACCCCTCAGGCGTCCCGCGCCCCGCAGCCTCCTACCTGTACCACTCCAGCCCTTTCTCGTAGTTCCTGTCGAAGAAGTGCGGCTCTACGCCCACCGCCCTCACGTCCGGATGGACGCGGATAGCCTCAAGGAGCGCGCGCGTCCCTCCTTTCTTGACCCCGATGATCAGCGCCTGGGGCAGCTTCTTCTCCCCATAATCAGGGGTGCTGGCGGGCCCCCGCTCCTCACTCGCGTTGGCCGCCCTTCGGCCTGCCAGCTCCTCGGCGGCTCCTGGCTCCTGCGCCCCGTGCCCCAACTGCGCTCCCTGCTCCGTAACCGTGTCTCCAGGGGCAGACGGGTTCCTGGGCCAGGCGTCCCGGGCACCGCCGCCACTCGCCAGTCCCCAGCCTTCGGCCGCGGGTGTCGTAAAGCGCTCCGGGGGCTCGGGCGGTGGCCCGCGGCTAGCGTTGTCCGGCGGCGGCGAGGGGGCTCCGGGGCGCACGCGGGGAGGCGGCGGCGACGGAGATGGCAGGCTTGGCGGGGACTCCGCCGCGGCTCCCGGGGGCTCCTGCAGCGCCAGCGGGAACTGCAGAGAGCCCGAGCCGCCCAGCAGGCTGTAGCACAGGTAGGTGACGGACAGGGACAGGGTGCACATGAAGAGCAGCTTGCGCGCCGGCGGCCCCTTAGCGGAGGCGCCGGGCAGCGGCGGCGGCGCGGCGAGCGGCGGCGGCGGCGGCGGAGGCGGAGGCGGTGCGGGCCACCGGGCCATCGCGGCTCCC